CCCCGTCCCCCGCGGCCTCCGCGTAGGGCGGCCGCAACAACCCCGCTCACAAAGGGGCTGGTGGGTGAAAAACCCTTCTCTAGGATTGAGGTGGTTAGTGGGCATTTAGTTCGTTGTTTTGCTATAGTTTTAGCTTTATTTTGTGATACAGCTTTGCCACCGTGTCGAGGCAAGGGTTAAGATGTCCCTGCTGATGGCAGGGGGGTTGGAACCTGATGATGTTCAAGGTCCCTTCCAACCCAAACCATTCGATGATTAACCACTGCCAGAGGGTTTGCTGACAAGGACTTCAGGGAGCTCAGACGTAAATCACAGAGATTGCTACAAGATAGAGGTAGGGAAACAGGGACGGAGAAGGACTGATAACCAGGAATTGGTTGTCTCTAAGAAGCATCCCTCCAGCTGAAACTGGTTCTGCGGTTTGGGGCTCGGCCACAGAACAGAAATTTTGAGCCAAAGGTAAAAAGCATCCAGCGAGGAAGACTACGAGCCTTTGCGAGGAGGACGACGAGCCTTCATCCAGAAGACCCTCACAGACGACACTGTGCAGGCACTAAAGAGGGACAGAGTATGATAATGAATCCTCAGAAATAATTATAATAATCCCGCCTACTCAGATAAATTTTGTAATAAGTAGGCGCAGGCTTTATGACTTGGTGCGCAAGTTAGGAGGAGCGATCCCCCTCGCACCCGGTGCCATAAGAAACGTACCTGCTTTATAACTGTCCCCGAGTTGTGGAGTTTGTTTCCGCACATCAGGATGGTTTGGGTCAGAAGGGGCTTTGTAGAGCGCCTGGTTCCAAGCCCCCCTTCCCCCTGGGAAGCCTCCAGTGGCCCCACGCCGCGCGGGAGAGGGGGGATCAGCACGGCCATCAGCACTGACGCAACTGGAGTTTTGCAAGTTTGGTTCTTCCTGTGAACAATCCCACTTCTAATCAAAAAAAGATCTTTCAACTGCTTCCCCTACCTAACTCCAATAATTTCACGACTCTAGAGACGAGTGAGTGCACCTTTAAAAAAAGCAGAGGGTTTTACTGTGTTTTCTCTCGCTGCCATTGACCCATCTCTCGTGTAAGCACACACACGAGGGCTGGCACTGCAGCCCCTCTTCTCCATCCGTTTGCAACGGCCTTCAAGGCCCTAAGATTCCACGCTCAATTGGTTTCCAATTCGCTCACAATATTTAAGCACCTCTGAAATGAAGTTGTAAGTTCCAAACCTTTCAAAGTCCTAGGGAAAAAGCTTTCAGACTGGTGGTATTTGTAAAGTACTTCCTAATTCTAAAATAGAAACATTTCCAGCAAGTAGAAGTAAATATTGAAAGGTGGATCTTTTACGTCCCCATTTTTGACCAGAAGTCACCATTTCTTCAAAAGTGTTTATTTCACAAATTTCTTTTTATCCACAGCTGAATATTACAGTGACTGTTACAAGCATTTTCCTATAAACAAAGGCGTAGTTTACAGATTTGTTCAAAACGGAAAAATATTTTATAAGCAGTAGTATTTCATCTATAGTGTTCACTCTTCTGTATCACCCAGCTTCTTTGAGAGCAGCTCTGCCTTCTGCTTGGTGAGGTAAGGAGGCTTCACAACCCCCCAAAAACCCCCAAACAAACAAAAAATAGACATCACACTGGAGCAGCACATTTTTTTTTAGAATTTTTCGTCTAATTTCAACTTAATTTGAAAGTTTCTGTCCACTGGCATTTACATTTTGAAATAAATGGTATATTCATTGGGGAATATCTTCTCTGGATTCTTTTACTTTCATCTGCATTCCTAGAACTTCATTTTTGGGGGGGAAATAAATCAATTTATGACTGTAATATATGTGGATCAATGAAGTTGGAAGAAAAAGGCTCATGGCAGTCCATGCAAATTCATTTTAATTAGTTTATATTTATATATGCAATGGCAAAATGCCAATTTCTCAGTTAAATCTGGCCTGAAAGAGTAAGTTTGCACAGCTTGGTTCATTTAATGCTGAAAAATCGAGAGAAACAACCTGTTTCTTGTGCATCTGTGTCACACGTATCTCGCAGGACTTCAGGGAGCGCTGTGATTTCGGGGTTTCAAAGCTGCAGTGTCAGGAACGGCAGCCACTATGGGTGCGCAAACGCCGCAACGCCCACATTTTGTTAGCGTTTCACTCAAAGAAGTCCTTGAAGCTACAGCGGAAGAAGCTGCATGAGCAAAAAAAATGTTTATGGGGCATAAATTCAGCCTTGAGGTCTACCGCTCTTTTCTCCAGGCAACTACAACAGCTTTAGCAGCTGAAAGATAAGCAACCTCACCTATAAAGTGCCAATAAAAGAAGAAAACCAATAAAGCGAAGCGAGGTGTTGCTGGAAATGAAGCGTGTGCATCACTCGGGATGCTTTTCGTAGGTCAGACTGGCTTTTGAAGCGGTGCTTGCGTGGTGGCGGTGGTTTGTGTGATTTGGGTTGGGGGGGGGGTTCTTTTTTCTTATTATTTTTTATTATTTTTTCTTATTATTTGTTTGGTTTCAATTCCCAATAGTGCTTTTCTAAGATACACTGTACATGCAAAACTCAGTAACTCAGTATGGGTCAATATTGCGTCTATCCTAGGAACTTCAAAGTGGTTTTGCAGAGCTCCTCAGAGTCAGAATTTAAAAGCAGACTTAAAATCCACAGAAAACTTTTTTTTTAACGACAGAACAATAAAAATATTCCCACATTGTAACGCTCGTTTCGGAGAAACGGCGGTTGAGAAGTCAGTTACCTTAGTAACAGCTAAAGGCACACAGTGGGAAAATGCTCAACTTCATAATCAATATTTAAAAATAAAGACAGAACTGGACAACAGCCAACTTTCTCAAAGCCATGCTTTGTGTTAGATTTGCTCTCTAAATAAAGAAGTGCCAATCTGAGGAAAGGCAGGCATGCTTGAACATAGCAATTGAACAAAATTAACATTTAAAAACAAAGTTTTAAAACTGCTAACAGAAAAAATAACATATATTAAAGATACGTCATACCGAGTCCTCCTCGAGATGGATGTTAATGGATAAACTACATCATCACGGATCAAGACATCAAATCCCAGGTCCCATCTACACGTACCAGGAGTTTTTAAGAAAGCCTCTTTGTTGTACGTATAAATTATGATCCTGAAAATGCCAGCGAAAGACCATTATCCCCATTTTGTAATTCTGATCAGCAACAAAATCGTTGCGGAAGAGGGTTCTGCGGCAACCTGTCATTTAGTCTAAATGCTAAGCATTAGTTCACCCAGTTTGTTGGGAGTTGTACTCTCAATAATTTACATCAGAGAGAGGTAGAGACCCAAAGAGCCCGAGAGGAAACCGCTGGGCTAAGATCAGCTCTCAGAAACAGCTCTATGTTCAAAACGCCTTACAGAAAGACCAAATTCTGCTTTATTTTTTCATTTTTAAACCATGACAACTACTGTGGTGTGGGAAAAAGGGATAAAGATACAATTAAAAAAAATTAAATTCAGAGCACTGCAAAAACGTTCATTTGCAAAATGTGAGAAGAGGCAGGTACAAATAAATAAGAATATTGTAGATGTGACAGCAGAGCGTGGGCTTGCTGGGCACAGGCAGCAAAACGGTGGCGTTCTCCTTGTGGTACCTGAAGGGGAGATGAAGGCACTACTGAGTAAACGCAGCAGATGCAAGTGCTCAAGGACTGTCGTTTGGAGGTAGTGCTGGTACCATACAAGCAACCAATTTTCTTCTGGAATTAGCTGGGTGATGGATAGGGGAAAAGCTAAACTCCTCCCTAGGGAATGGCCGTAAGCCTTTCCTTCCCTGGCACCAGCCGCACTAAACCACCACCCATCTGAGACCAGGTATTCACCCACCGACACAGACCAATGTCATTCTTCACAGCACTCCACTTTTTCTTTAAAAATGTGCTTTTTGGATAGTAATATACATATATAGTACATACAGGCCTATTACAGTTTGTATATACATAGATTATATACACGATGGTCAAACCAAAACACACTCCTTACCTAAAAAGGTGACTCCAGCATGGCTGGATGTAGTGTTTCTCTGAGAGGCTTCACGTTCCAGTTAATCCCCTGAGCAGGCAGCTTACCTGGCCGTAACGTTGCTGTTCGCATCGGATTTACACCAACTCAAAGCAGTCAGCTGCAGCGAGGTTTTTTTCCCCCCCGAAAGCTCTTAATCATCGTGGAATTGCTGAGACTTCAGGAACTGCAAACGCAGGTGAGTGAAGGTCTGCTCAGACAAGACCGTTACGGAAGCGGAAAGGGCAAAAGGCTCACGGTGCCGGGGTAAGCGGGGCTTTCGCCGCTGCCAAACGCCCTGGCCGCGTTTTGGCACGTAGAGCTGCGGCAGAAGCATCGCCCCTCGGAACAGTCTGCGGACTGATCGCCATCAGGATCGTCACGCACCATCGGGACACCCCCCTTTTCTCTCTCTCAGCAAGGAGAAACGTGTCGTGGTAAGCGCTGAGAAAAGTCAGCGACTGCTTTTGTGAACAGCTGGCCCCTTTCCACGCCTGCCTCCTGAGGTCAGAGGGTTGGTTTGTTTGAATTTATGAGTTCAGTAAAAAAAAACACCAAAAACTAGCAGAATTTGAATTGATTGCAGTTATTTGTTTAAGGTTGTTGTAGACAAAGAGTTTGTGTTCACTCTTCAAAGAAATGGCTTATGTTACTAACACACTATCTGACATTTTTGTGTTTTCATTGCTTATCCATTCCCTTCTGTTTTTAACCTTTTTTTTTTTTTTTTTTTTTTTTAGTATTCTTTATTTACCAAAGCCCTGTATTTGCACGACTGCTAAAATTGCAGATGGCTATTGAACTGGTTAGAATTCTTCCACTGACTGCTATGGCTAGGACTACCCCACCGAACATCAGTAGGACCAGAGAACCAAATATTAAACTGGGCTGCCTAAGCGTGTCCCACCTATGCGTGAGATCCCGACACAGGCCACGTCAGAGGTCCAAGAAGCTTGACAGCCACTGGATACAAGTTTTTGACTTCTAAAAGCACAGGGAAAGCCAACAGCAGGGATCGGGATGACGCTCACCTACACTAGAAGCAGGAAGCCTAAGGCAATCCCTTGTCTCAAGATTATTTGCCTAGGACAAAACCTTTGCAAGTCACTAATGTAAATTCGATAATGGAAGAAAAGCCAAACTGCCAATTTATCTGAATTCGCAATGCAGCAGATGCACTGGATGTAGTTAGGAGGAGCAACAGCATTTCTCAAACACAGACTCTGTGACAAATTCCACGTCAGCCAAAATCAGCAGCGTCCAAGCCCTTTACCCCACCTGGCGTGATAAGTATGTACCTGCACCTTCTGCAATTCCCTTTCTCAACTCGCCGTCGTGACGCAAGAGGCAGAATTGCACATCCTGTTATTAATAGTATGTACCTGCACCTTCTGCAATTCCCTTTCTCAACTCGCCGTCATGACGCAAGAGGCAGAATTGCACGTCCTGTTATTAATATGTACAAACCCACCTGGCTATTACACAAATCTCATGTCTTCAAGCAGCATAAGTGTCTCAGATTTTGGTTTTAACTGCCATTTCTTCATAGACACCTATGAAGATCAAAGTAAGCTGTCATCCAGTCACCATTCTGTTTTCGTTAGTGGCTTTTGGAGATGATTATGGGCTTTGAGCTCTGTCAACATAAAATCAAGCGGTAAAAAGTAAATCTACACTTCAAGTATCCTTATTCTGAGCTGCAAATTACCAAAAAAAAAATCACATTCAGATCAGTCTCTTTTTTACTATACAAGTTTGGCATCCGTTTATTACACTGCACTGGCTCTTCCATAAACCTGTTTGGTTCGTGTTTAAAGAGGTCCTTAAATTGCTTTTGTGATTTTTCTTTCTTTGCTGGAGGTCTCTGGGTAGCAGAGGTGGGCTTAATCATACTTTCTTCAGACTTTATTGAGAAACTCCAAGTTGAGAGAAGCAGGGATGTGAATCGAGTCCATGGTTATGGAGGATGGGTTGAACGGAAACAAAACTGGGAACATGTGCTTGAAGTCTAACAGCAGCTGTGGAGGGTCATTTCGCTCTTGCAAGTGCGTCTGTGAGGTGTGGGAGAACAAATTTAGTATCAGTTAAGGCCTTTTCTTTGCATTTGTCACGCTTAACGTTGAAGATTTGAGAATGTACACAATTTTAGAGATATTACAAAACCCAGAACTGTTTCGTTCTCTATCGCAGCAGCCTTCCTCTGAGCAAATATTTACAGGAGCTTCTACACCGACTACAGGAAGCAGTGCTCCAAAGAACCTGGATACGTTTTCTACATGACCACAAGGCAAGACACAAGACTTGGAAACAACATGACCCCCTTGCACAGCAAAAGCAGCACCGCGTGATACCAGCGGATCGCTTTTCATTCAGCCGCTCAGCGATGGAGATGTGTTCTAAAAGTAGTTAAGCACATTTCTATCTTCATTTCCTGCCTCTCCTTGCGAGCATCAAGAGATGTTTGCCTTTCATTTATTTATGCTTCCTTTAGCTGCCAATTTCTGCCTTGTATCTCAGAAGTAACTCCATTTCACCGATCCTTCGCTGACTCCTACAGCCTTACTTCTGAGTCGTGCTGCTTACTGCTCTGTGTAATTAACAGCCTGGTTATCCCTGCAGCTGTATGTTGCAAGGGAGCGTCTGCACACACAGAGCACTAAATTCAGGGCAACGTGCAGCAGCACGCCTGTTACAAAATGCCCGAGTCTGTGCTGACGACATCTGTATTAAATCGTTACTACCCCCTCCACTTTACAGCCCTTTCCTTTACCTGTACGTCTCGGATGAAAGCAACTGTCACACGTTCTTCAAACTCATTCACAGGAGTGTAGAGATTAAGTATCTTTACAATCTGTTGAAAACAAAATAGGATGACAGACAGTCATCAGAAGCCAAACTCTGCCAGAATGCAAAGCACCACTAATGTTCTGTCCTGATGTGGCCGTAACAAGTCTCCCACGACACCACTGAGAAGCAGAAGTAGCTCAGGTATCATCCTGGTGTTCCTTTGCCTGGTAAGCATCTGTGGACCTCTGCAAGTCACTTCTTACGGCAACGTTTGTAAATTGGGAGTAGAAGTGAACAGTTATACAGGGACTTCAGCCGGCTGGCACATGGTGACGTGGGAAGGTTCAGAATAGGTGGCCACCTCCCAGTACTTCTGATGTCACCTCCACAACGCTTCTCCTGATGCTCCCTCACTCCTGCTTCTCCCCTGGCACCCCTCAGCTTTTCTCAAGAACCCACGTTCAAGATGGGGAGATGGAGACACAGGAGACAGGATCTCCAAGAACCACCAGAGATCAGCTCATACCTCTCCCTTCTCCCTTCCTACGACATTATCAAATAAAGGCCAGGCAATCCAGCAGCAAGGAACGTGAGTTTGTATCCTTCAGGAGGTGAGTCACAAAGTTGAAGGTTGGATCTAGACAGTAAGTGGGCAATTCTCAACCTCCTGCCCCAAACATGAGTCATTACCGGGCAGACGTAGCCAGGTTAGACCCTGGCAAAAGACAACAGGTGGGTTTAAAATCCCCAAGTGTCTGATATATTCCATGAACTCCTCAGGGCTGGGTTTCATCTTTGAACATTTCTGCTGGAGCTCGAGCCCTGTCAGCAGCACTGTAAGAGAGGAGCTGCCGCGACAACCACCTCTGACAAGGGTCAACACCAAGTGTCAGTCCTGAAAAGGACAAGTTGTCCCCATGGTTGGAATGGCACGCCAAGCCTGGGAAAAAAAAATACATATATATAAAAAACCCTCTGGTGTAAATCTGTGCCCTGCTCCCTACCTGCTGGGTCGTGAGCGATGTGCACAAGGAGCAGATGGCCTCAGCATCTTCCGAGGTTTTCTTTTTCAGCTGCAGAAGCTGTGCTGCCTGAATCAAGGGCTCCAAAGTTTGGGCCGCTCCGCTCTGCTGCAGATTCTTCCCACGCAGCCACTCCTCCAGCTGGCTTATGTTAAACCTGGGTAAGAGACCGAGGCAAGACGTGAGCCAAAAGCCAAGACATGATGTAGCATCTCTGAAATCCTCTGTGAGACTCAAGGTATGTTGCAGTGCTAGCATACGTGGCTTTCTTGATGCCTATTTCTGATACGCACGGCAAGAGACAACCAGAACAAAGCTTAATACTCCACAATTCAAAGCAAAATGTATACTCTGTATACCTCAGAAACAGATGAGCCATTTGACAGCTGAACAGCACTAGGCATGTGCTTTTCTACAGCATTCAGCTACGTTCAGGTTTCAAAAGTCAGTTACAATTAAGCTTTTGACAAGCTTTTAAATGCTAACAAAATCCCACAGGTACCCAAGCACCTTTGAAAAGATCTACACAAAAAAGTGCCTTTGCCTGTGCCCTCTCCCAGACTCAAGGGGAACGTGCAAAAGATCCACCGTGGGAAGGGGAGAGGGTAGCAAAAGGAAGGTTTAATCATCTACACCGAGAAGTAAGTTGATAGAATTACGCCAGGGCTGACAAATATTCGTGCCCCCTTTCTGGCAAGTTTGCAGCAGCTGTCCTTTCACCTTTCAATCCTTATTACAAGGATCTCCACGACAGCGATGAGGCACCCGGGCCCCTGCCCCCAGCCCGGCACACGCCCGTGCTGCCGCTTGCCTGCAGCCCACGAGAGGCCAGAGGCACCGCACACAGCAACAGGGGTTTTCCTTGGAGATCCGTTCGCAGAATCGGAGCCCTCGACACCGCAACACTTGTTGCGTTAAAACCAGCGGACGCAGCAGCGGGAAGGAACCATGGAGACTTCTCCATCCCAATGGGCAATCCATTCTCCATCACCTGGTGTAGTCTTCAGGCTGTGCAGCTTTCCCACTCAGATGTGGTGAGGCAAGACTGGGAGAAGCCCATCCCAGAGCTAATTACTGTGACATGCACTTAATTCACAAGCGGCACAGCAAACTGCATTGCACAGGCATTACACAAAGGGGGCTAGATTTAACTGCCACGGCACCGGTCTCCTGCTGA